GAAAGGGGGAGGGGCAAATTAGGGGTATGGGATTAAGAGATACAAACTACTATATATAAAATAGATAAGCAACAAGGATATATTGTATAGCACAGGGAATTATTATATCCATTATCTTGTGACAACTTTTAACGGACTATAATCCGTAAAAATATTGAATCACAATGCTGTACACCTGAAACTAATATAATATTGTAAATCAACTATACTTCAAAACAAATTGGGTTGTCTTTTTATTATTGAGTTGTAAGAGTTTTTAATATGTTCTGGGTATAAGCCCCTTATTTGACATATATTGTAATATGCAAATATTTTCTCCCCTTTCTGTGGGTTGTTTTCTCTCCTGATAGCGTCCTTTAAAGCACAAAAGTTTTTTAATTTTGATGAAGTTCAGTTTATCTATTTTTGATTCTGTCACTTATGCTTTTGGTTTCACATCCAAGAAGGTCAGAAGATTTACACCTACTTTTAAGAGTTTTAAAGCTTTAAAGACAAATACATATGATTTCACTTATACGTAGAATCTAAAAACCAAATCAAATGAACAGACATAACAAAACAGACTCATAGATTCAAAGAACAAACAGGTGGTTGCCAGAGGGGAGGGAGGTGGGGGGAATGAGTGAAATAGGTGAGGGAGATTAAGAGGTACAAACTTCTAGTTACGAAATAAATGCGTCACTGGAATGAAATGCAGAGCATGGGGAATATAGTCAATAATATTGTAATAACGTTGTACGGTGACAGATGGTAACTAGACTTATTGTGGTGACCATTTTGTAATGTACAGAAATATCGAGTCACTATGCTGTGCACCTGGAACTAACATAGTGTTGAAGGTCAATTATACTCAACTAACAAAAAATAAAAAAAAAAGGAATTGTTTCGGTCATTCTAGGTTCCTTGAATTTCCATATGAATTTTAGGATCAATTTACAAATTGCTGCAAAAAAGCCAGCTGGGATTTTGATACGAATTGCATGTAATCTATAGATCAATTTGGGGAGTGTTACCATCTTAATAATATAAAGTCTTCCAATCCATGAATATGGACTTTCTTTCACCTGCTTTCTTAAATAAATGATAAAGTACTATACCCTTTTCTCCACCTTGCATGTTTATTTTACTTAACGATATGGCCTGGAGTCGCTCCATCCATGGCAGTGTATATTCTCATTCCTTTGTGCCACTGAAAAGCTATGCACATGTACCAATATTCAACCAGTCCCATATTGATGGATGTCAGAGTTGTTTCCAACTTTTGCTATTACAAATAATGCTGCAAAGAATAACCTTGTGCACCCATCTTTTCGTACTTTTGCCAGTGTATCTTTGGGAGAGATTCCCTGGAAGCGGGACTGCTGGGTCAAGAGTAAATGCACTAGCTATTGCCAAATTCTGTGCTGCAGGCACTCTATCTCCACCAGAGATACATGAGAACGTATCCAGTGCCTAGTGATTTTAAGGCATACCAGGGTTGGGAATCTTGGCATTTAAAAATTAACTATTAGAATTATGAGAAGAGAAAGGTCATCCAAGTGGCTGGTGCCTGGAGGAACTGTGGGCCTGTGCAGTGCATATGCAGAAGTCCTGATGGGGAAGGGGGAGGGAGGAACGATGAAGGAGGCAGGGAATCTAGGGTAGGGATGGTTTTACAAATAAAGGCTGTACCAGAAACTTTCAGCTTCTAAGGGTGGAAAAATCCAAAGGTTCCCTGCCCCCAACCTGCCCCAATTTTTGTAAGCCAGGCAGCTTCTCTTGAGCACAGAGCCAGAGAGGATGGAGTCAAACAGTCCAGTCCCAGGAGAACAGAAGGACAAAAGCTGTTCTCAGTCAGTATACATGGGGAGCAGAAAAAAAGTCAAGAGGCTTGAGTTAGTCCCACCAGTCACTTACTGACTGAAAATCCTGGGTGCATCACTTTTCCAAGCTTCCTTTTTCTCCTGCTAACATGTGAAGGAAAACCCTGCCTCTCTCACCTCTCAGGCTCGTGAAGACCAGTCAAGAGAGCACCTATTATAAGCCTATGGGAACTGAAAGTGCCTTACAAACGTGAGGGATTCTCACTGCCCAAGCTGGATTTGAGCTCTGGTGTGACCGACCACTTACTATCTGACTCTCCTCAATTATAAAACAGAGACAGTAACACTTATTTCACAGGGTTATTTTAAGAGGAAAGTATAAAATGCATGTAAAGTACTTGGCACAATGTCTGACAAACAGTAAGTGCTTTAAAAGGTAAGTTAGTACGAGCATAGTAAAGTTATAATCTGCTGTTTAACTTTGGGCAAATAAATGTTTATACATGCTTTGCTTGAACATGAAGAAAAGTGTGAAAGAATAAGTAAATTAATAACACTGATTACCTTGGAGGGTAAAGTTAGGGAGAGAGAATGATTGCTGCATTTTTCTTTGTACACCTCTAGGTTGTTTGGCTTCTGAGCTGAATGGAAAAATCCAATGAGGCATCTCCAATGAGAAAAAGGGGGGATGCAATTGACGATGTGTACCCAGGGAGGGCTTCACAGCTAGTGATAATATTCCATGTCTTAACTGTGCCATGTGCACAGGAGTATTCATTCATTTTCCTATTATTTACACCAGGAGTCAGCAAACTTATTCTGTAAAAGGCAGACAGTAAGTGCTTCAGGCTTTGCCGGCCATACAGTCTCTGTCATCACTACTCAACTCTGCTACTGTAGCACAAAGGCAGCATAGACAATACATAAACAAGTAAGTGTGCCTGTGTTCCAATAAAACTTTAACAGGCAGCAGGTTGGATTTGGCTCCTGGGTCTTAGTCGGCCAACCCCTGATTTATACCTTTATATATGTTATACATATGCTTCTTTATGTGTGAAGGTATTTTACAATTTAAGAATACCACACATGCAAAAAAGCCAGCAAATCTGTTCCCTAAAATGAAAAATCCAACAAAGTCTATTTAAACAAATGAATTTCAACACAGAACAATTCACTCTTAGGTCTATAAGCTAATCTTAAATAAAATCTTGAAGACAGAAATTTTTTTCAAAATTTATTTCGTGTAAGAAAATTTTCCCTATTCACTTCTCTCCTCTGCCCTCATCCTGTACTGAAATATTCACATCACACTTTATGTCTCTGCCTATCAAGGAGATGGAAAAATACAGTCATCAGCCCTTTGGTTTCTTTTTGAGCACCTGCCCCACCCTATACCCATTCTTTCAATGTTCCAACTTCCTCCTCCCTAAAATGATGAATTTAAGGTAGAAAGATATGAGGAAGAATGGAAATTTACAAGAAAGAGAGCATGACTGATAATTGTTCCCAAGAAAACATTTTCCCTTTTTGCTCTTAATAGGCTGTAAAGCTAATGCAATTAAATTATAACTATAGCAACTCAGCTGGCATCACAGTCCTTTCGCTCCAGCAGCATCCTTTCACACAAGCAAAAGCCTGCACGCTAAAGACCCGGGGTAACTGCAGGCAACCAGCAGCAGCAGCAGTAGGAGCCTGCAGGGAGGGCAAGTTAGCAGAAATGTCTAAAGGCTGGATGGGGTGCTGAGGAAAAGTGTAATGGAGCAGTTGGCTGCATTTAGCTACAAGGCTGGATAGTGAAAAACCCCTGCCAGGGTTCCCCTGATTTGTCTTTACTAATATCAACAGAACGCAAACTAACTAGTATTTTAATAAATAAAATTCTGGGGAGGCCTACATAAGAATTTCTACAACATCCTTACTGACTCAGCAGAGCAGCCAAAACATTCAGCTCTCAAGATTAGTTGGGGGAAAAAAAATGTAGCCCTTATACTCACCCCCTGTGACATTTACTATGTATCCAAAACAATGTCCCCACCTTAACACCAGCACTTAGGTCTTATCAAGTTTAAGGAATGAAGACTGAGCAGATGACTGACGATTTCCCATACAGTATTTCCCACAGAGAATCTCAGCCACTTTCCAGACCCAGCAAGGTCACCAGTAACAGCACCTCTGCATCCTCCCATGACCTTTCCATCAGGGCTAAAGGAGCATACACTCTGAAGTCAACCTCACTGGGTTTGAATCCTGACTCACTACTCACCAGCTGTGTGATCTGAGAGAGTTACTTGCCCTTTCTGAGCCTTAGCTGCTCATCTGTAATACAGGGACCACAGTCCTACTATTTGTTGTGAGGATTAAGCAAAATCTTACTGATGCATAATAAGTAACCAGTAAATCACATTGCCTATGGAAAGAGGTGAGATTTTTTCCTGCCTCACCAAACAATAAGCTTCTTAAGGGCAAGGACCATGTCTAATTCATGGTTGTAGTCCCAGAGACAGCCCAGGCCTGGCACAGTGGGGATCCCAAACACATGTCTGTGGAATCAACAACCCAAAGCATGTTGTGAGGCAGCAGCAGCCACTGGCCAGTCAACCTGCACTTTTCTCCTGCTGCACTCTCTGGAGGCTCACCCACTTTCCTCTTCTACAATCAACTGGCAGCCACTGCATTTCCAAGGCCTTTTAGAAGCAGCCTCTGGGGTCGCTGACAGTAAGCAGACAGGATCACTCCTCACTTGGATGGCTTCTCATCACTAACTGCTCATCAGTTTCTTCCAAGTACTCTTAAAAACTCTGCTCATCACTGGGCCCTCTCTGGCTTGGAGGGTAACATTTATCTGTGTGACCCACATTTACCAATATACTACGTGAGCCATTTATCACCAACAGTCAGTGAACCCAAGCAGGAACGACTGGGACGGTTTCTGTATGACAAAGCCCTTCGCCCTTTCTCACCCTGATCGTCTCTGCCTGTGATAGGGGCTCGCAGCTTGGTCAGGCAGACAGGCTGGAAAACCCAGGAGGCAGGGAGACAAAGCAAGGCTGCTGACCTGTTTATAAAACCTCTCTTGAATTCCTGAGACTCTGGCTTGTATCTGTCTTTTACAGACTACATCCAAATTCAAGGCAGGAAAGAAGCAGATCCTGCCCCCGAGCCACCCAGCACCAGTGCTGCCTCCCCACCAGTACTCACGCCTTGACATCTGCTGTCTCCTGGGATGTGCGTGTGAGGGTACGGGAACGCAGGCGCTCGCCTGCCTGCTGGATCTCCTGTAGGTTCCGTTCCACATGGGGAAGCTCTGAGATGCCCTCGGTCTCAGCGGCAAGCTGTTCAGCTTGCTGAAGGAGCTCACCAAACCCCTCAGTATCCATTGGAGATGCAGATCCTAGGTGGGGGAGAAAAAGGAAGAGACCCAAATCAAGAGGAAAGATAAGCTTCAAACACTGCCTGAACCTGTCACAAGCTTAACGAAACACTAGGACTTTTTGTAAACAGACAAGGAGACAGCTCATCAACAAGCAGGATTTGTTCCTGAACATAGCCCAAGAAAAACAGTCCTGACAGAGAAAATGAGTCAGACTGAGAAGAAATAGATCACTTCTGTCCATACTGACAGCCCCAAGATTGATTTCTGCCACCAGAACAAACGCAAAGATATTAAAGCACAGATCAGAATTCCTGCCTCACTTCAGACTCAAAGCCGACAAGGCAACAGAAGCCATGGTGGCAACCTCTGGGAGGCGTAAAGAACCCTCACTCAAACTTCCTCTCCCTCCACCTGTCTTAGACAGAAAAACACCTCCACCCGCAGACGGCTGGCAATTTATATGGCCATCTCATCTCATATGATTCCCAAACAACTCCATGAGGACCCTGAGAAGACAGAGAAGGAACTCCAGTCCACAGAGCTCAGTTCTGTGCCTAGAATACTCTCTGCTGCAATGAGGCTGAACTGAAACCAGAAGAACACAGGTCTTCTGACTAATCCCATTAGTCTCCTTCGCTAACATGAAAGACAGTCTTTTAAAATTCATGTCCAAGTCTCCATTCACTCATTCTTCAGCTTTATCTCTGAGAGCAGAGATCCATGTCTGCTTATTATATATGACATTCAGAATATGACTTGTTAATATATCTACTACTTTTAGAGATACTGTTGCAACTAATAATTATACTAATTTAAGTAGCAGCTGGCTTCTAGACCATGAATATTATTAGCAAGATCACCTGTTTCTCCAACAACTGAGAAAAGCTCTGTGAACAATGTTGATATTTAATGCATATTACACATTTATGAATCTTCTATATACTGTACCATCCTTGTATAAGGTTCATAACTAAGAGAAGGAGTTTTTAACTCCTACCACTATTTAAGTCAACAGAAGATAAATAGTATCAACATCATTTTTAAAAATTACATTGCTAAAAGGTTAACAAAATTATTATTTATTAAAAAAAGAACAATATTCTTTAAATAGTAGCTCTTGATTATATTTTTCCCCTTTGTTTTAAACCCATGGCTTCTATTGTGCTTTAGAAATCCCTGTGGTCTAGAATTGTAGTTACAATGTTAATGTAATGTATAATTATATCTCAGCTATGAAGCTCAGGTTAATGTTAAAAGAGCATGGTTTCCACCATAAATCCACAGCAGCAGAATAAGGACTTTTAAAAATGAACATTAAAGGACATTAACTTTAAAGGCAAGGGCACAAGGTTAAAACAAAAATAGCTCAGCTGGAGTAAACATGAAGACATTTTGGTATTCTTTATGAAGTGCCAAGCTGACTTTAATCTTTAGACAAAAAGTCATATACACTATAACTCTTTACCTAAAGTTTCTAGATAATCATTGTCTTTTTTTTTTTTTTTTTACCTAATAGAATCAAGCTGTAACTGGCCACCTCTACCTGTGAGAAAATGTGGATCACAGATTGAGAAGGGTATTCTTGGGGACAGAAGAAAGAAGCAGAGAGTATAATTAAACGACGGCTCCTGCTTGATGGAGAAATGCTTTTCCTCAGAAACCTATAGGGCCAGTGATGTTCTATGAACTACCAGAAACATGGTCACTCACCAGAAAGAGGAAAAAAAAAAGAAATATGCTGCCTCTTACCACCACATTTTTTTTTTTTTTTTTTTTTTGCGGTATGTGGGCCTCTCACTGTTGTGGCCTCTCCCGTTGCGGAGCACAGGCTCCGGACGCACAGGTTCAGCGGCCACGGCTCACTCACGGGCCCAGCCGCTCCACGGCATGTGGGACCTTCCCGGACCGGGGCACGAACCCGCGTCCCCTGCATTGGCAGGTGGACTCTCAACCACTGAGCCACCAGGGAAACCCTCCCCACACTTTTTTTTTTTACTCTAACATAAAAATAATTTGTCTAACAGAGCCAAGGAGAAGGAAATATTTTTTCTTTCATAAGGAAAATTCTGGAACTCCCTGAATAAAACAAAACTTTTTTATGTTCAAAAAAAGAAGAAAAATAAAGGAAAAAATATATCTATCATTTCACGTAACATTTCCATGTCAGACAAATTCAGACAAAGGAAACGCTCAACTTCTCAAATGACTTGCCCATACAAAGATTTAAAGTCATGGATCTGAGGGTAATAAATGCAAAATAAAAGTCATGATTTACTTTAATATGGTCCAATAAATATGATTTTTAAAAGTTAACTAAATAGAATTATTTTGACCATAGTAAAATAAAGGCTGAATCTCTAAACAACATCCTAAACTTAATATGCCCCAAACTGAGCTTTAACCTTTCATCTACAAAACCTGCTCCTTGGCCTGCTCCAGTCAGTTGCTTGGGCCAAAATCCTTAAGGGCCTCCCTGACTCACATCCCACATTCAAATAGGCCAACAAAGCCTTTCAAATCTACCATCAAAATGCACCCAGAATCTACCTCTTCCCACCACATTCCCCCACCCAAGTCACTCTCACCTCTTCCTGGCTTCCCGGCTTCAGCCCTTGTCTCCTACAGTGTCTTCTCAATCCAGCGATCAATGATCCTTTGAAAGTCTGATCACATCCATCCTCTGTTTAAACTTCTTGTACAGAGTGAAGCCCTACAGAAGCAAGCCATCTCTTCTTACCTCCTAGACTCATCTCCAGTCCTGTCCCCCTTCCTTTCCTGGGCTCCAGCCACCCTGGGGCCTCCTTGCTGGTCCCCCAGTGGGTCAAGCACATTCCTGCCCTAGAGGCTTTCTTTGTACTCCTTATTTCCTCTACCTGGAACGCACCTCTCCCAGATATGCTCATGGCTGATTCCCTATCTCTCTCAGCTAAACTGTCAGCTTGCCTCTGATGCCAACCTATAACAAAATATTTATGAGTGCAACCTGCAACCACCCTCAGCTAGAATGTAAACTGCACAAGGATAGGGTTTTTTGCCTGTTTTGTTCACTGAGGTACCCCAGGTTCGTAGAACAGTGCCTGGCACATAGTAGGTTCTCATCTGTTCAATGAATGGGAGTTTTATTCTTCCGTTTGTGGAGACTGTTCTTCTTGAAGGCTTCCTACACACTCTTGCCAAATCAGCACCCACTGGCAAGCAGAGACCAAAGCAAAAACATTCCCTTCCGACTACCAACTGATACTTAACATTTCTGAGGCTGCACAGCATAAGGCAGAGACAGTATAAATGGCATGAATTCAGATCACACTTGGTCCAGACTAGTGCTTTCCCTCTAAATACCCAGACAAAAACCCAGTGATATTTTAGAAGAAACAGCCCAGTTTTCAGGTGAACAAATTCCAAACTAAAAGAACAAATATACATACAGGAAGAACTGTGCTATATAAGTTTAGAGTAGAAAATAAGCTTGTCCCATGTCTGTCTGAGAGAAGAGAGAAATGTATATGATACCATATTTGGGAAAAACTGGATCTGTCCTGCATTATAACTCAACCAGTGGAAACTGATTTACAAAAAAGTTATCAAAGTTTCCAAATGTATACTTTGATGTAGTCATCATCTCATTAAAATTTTTAAACATATGGTTAATTTTACACATTTAAAGATGATTTTTAACCCTTCTGCAGAATAAATATCAATTTAGCCACAAAATATAGGGGTTAAACAAACCAAATATCAATTTTGACCCAAGATACTGAAAACTGATCATGAAAATAACCTCACTAGCTTTGTCCAATAGTGAGAACCAGAATGATTAGTGGGAGCGGAGGTGAGAGGGTGAAGTCCAAGCTCTGTGTTGGGAAAAAAATCTGGCCAAGACACACGCAGAGACTGGATGCCAGCTGCACCCCTGGGGAGCTATGGAGGAGGGAGCCAGGAAGAAGCCACACTGAGAACCCACAGAAGTGGGATGTGGAATAGTCAATGCAGCAAAACTGGGGCTGGACCGGAAAAGGCCAGCAAGGACAGACAGCACTAAGGCTCCTCTCTGTCAGCATGACTCTGAGCCTGATTGTTGAGAGGCCTCTGGAAACACCGAAAGGTGCTTCAGAGAGCATGGCAGGGTACCAGGGCCCTGAGCAACAAACTGCTCTCCGTGCCTCTTGGCAGAAGTCCTACTGAGCCTCCACAGACCTCCTCAAACACCCGAGTAAGCCTTAAAATGAAGGGCAAACTTATCACTGCTGTTAGAAGGCAAGACTGGTTATCCTTTGGTGGGGGGGGGGGGGGGGGGGGGAACAGGAGGAGGCAGAAAGGAGGCTTCTGGGGGGCTGGTAACTTTGTTTATTCTGGGTGCTGCTTAATAGTGTGTTCATTTTGAGAACATTCACTGAGATAGACTCGTGATTTATGTACTTTTCTGACTGTGTATTGCACTTCAATAAAAAGTACCCCATCAAAATGAAGGACAATGACCCACTGTTTTTCAGAGGTTGCAGACACCCTGCTATATTAGAAATGGTGGGACTTCCCTGGCGGTCCAGTGGTTAAGACTCTGTGCTTCCAATGCAGGGGGTGCAGGTTCGATCCCTGGTCTGGGAACTAAGATCCCACATGCTCCGCGGTATAGCCAAAAAATTTTTAAAAATTAAAAATAAATAATAGGGCTTCCCTGGTGGCACAGTAGTTGACAGTCTGCCTGCCGATGCAGGGGACACGGGTTCGAGCCCTGGTCTGGGAGGATCCCACATGCCACGGAGCAACTGGGCCCGTGAGCCACAACTACTGAACCTGTGCGTCTGGAGCCTGTGCTCCGCAACGAGAGGCCACGATAGTGAGAGGCCTGCACGCCGCGATTAAGAGTGGCCCCTGCTCGCCGCAACTGGAGAAAGCCCTCCCACAGAAACGAAGACCCAACACAGCCAAAAATAAATAAATAAATTTTAAATATATATTAATAATAATAATAAATAAACAGAAATGGCGAGTGCTCTTAGTGGGAAGTTCCCAAGATCCAG